CGCTTCTTTCTCTCGCCCTGTCGCGATTGTTACATTCCAAACGCTCCGAACGGGCCTATTCACTGCAAAATATAACAAGTGTCTAAATATTTTTTTGACACGAAAACTAGTTACAACTAATGCAGCCAACAACAGACTAATGAAAACTAGCGATAACTCTAAAGTTACACAGAGTTTTCTTTGAGTAGCAAATTTTACAAAAGTTTCGAAATAACGTAATTCATAGTAAAGTATTGTAATCTAGGGTTAAAGGTTAATTGACAACGCTTATGACGCTATAAAGTAACAAAAGTAGACTAAAATAATTAATTTTGAGGAAATATCATATTTTCTTCATACAGATCAGGTGTCCTAATACTTACGAGCGTTAGTGTACATGTTCAAAATACAGGTAGTAATAGGTTAAACACTTCAATCGCAGTAGCAAATTATATTCATAAAAAATCTCAAGAATTCTAACAGAATACCGTAATAATTTCTCCTTTAAGCCTGATCTAAGGGTAAATTAAGAGACTCCTTATCTACAAAGCACTAAAATTTAAAAATCCATTAATAGGCAACCGGTCAGTAAAGTGTGAATTCATTTTCGCTTGTTAACATGTTAATATCATAACCAGACCGCGAATGTTTCACTTTAAACCCGCACTTTCACGTACTAATTCACGAACACAAGAGTTAAACAGAAGTTCATTATCCGAACGAATGGATTTTTCCACGGCTAAAGAAGTAAATAAAGTCGAGTTACACATTATTAAACTTTCTTTATTTCACCATCTTACACTCGGTTGTATCCGTCATAAAAACATAATGAAAAACTTGTATACACTGCCCCCCTACAAATATAAATACACCAACGTATGGAAAAATCCAATTTAAATTCATCGGCAGCTAATTGTTTTAATATTCCCGTCGTACATAATTACCTGTTTCCCGTAATCCAACGGTGGGGAGCATTACGAAACGTTCCCCCTAGGAATAGAAAGGAAAATCGAGGACGGGGATCCCGGATAATTTACGTTTCCGCAGAGTGTCGGAATGATTTCTTTTTTTTTTTAATTTCCTGGTCGGCGTAGGCGTGACGACATCAAAGGTCCAATTTTCTGGCCGCTAATTCGAATCAGCCGGGTCCCCCCGCCCGGAAACCACGAATCCGTAGTGGGATCGATGGAGGGGGAAGGAGGTGAGATCGTCTTCTCGATCACGGTAACGGGACCTCCGACAACGACCGGAAACGAACTGATGTGCGCGTTGCAGCGACGCCTGACAAAGCCTAGCTCTAATTACATCCCTTTATGATCTTTTCCGGCATCCAATCAGATTTCCTCGTTTTCCTCCGCTCGGTAACCCGGTTAACTCCTCGGCACTGCATTCCGTCGGCGGAAAGGCAGAGGTTGAATGGTGTCATCTGTGATCAATTCGTTCGTGTTGCTGCGGCTGGACGAAAGTTAATTTGATCGTGAGTAAGTCATTGTATATGTCACAGTAAACACGTGAAGTTTAGTAAATGTATATCCTTAGTTTACGTACGATTTTAGCAGACGTATGAACCGAATATAAGAATGTAAGACTGTATCACAAATATTCGGAGAGAATTGTATTATTTATTTTCGTGTGTAGAAAATATGTTGGTCTTATAACGATTCGCATAACTTCTCTGTCCCCTCGTTACACCATATTTTGTCAGTGCACATGAAAATGATACGATGCTGTACGCGTAGGAATAGAATAAGGACCTAACGAAGACAGAATAAGGTAATCAATACCGATAGGGTAGATCCAGATCCAAAAAGCCTCTAAAACCTTATACGTCGGCCATCGCTGTAATTCATACAAAGAATAAAACATTCATTATTTCATAAATCGCTCTAATCCAACCTGATTAACCCTACTACAGAACACAGACACAACGACAAACATTGCCATACCATCAAAAGTCTGCTTTCTAGCCCCTTAAAAAGGACCACGGACAAACAGTTGATTCCAACCGAACACTGCCTATAATAAAATCGGAACGTTTCCATGAAGTCATTAAGAGAAGTAGAGAGAATTCAGCGGACAATAGTGTTCGATTGGTTATCAAACACCACATGACTGTCAACACCCAATAATACCGTGGGCTGGCGTTGAATAGCCGGGCTAATTACATCAAGAGCGGCCGAACGAGGTTAAAAGTCGTCGTCGTTCGGTCCAGGCCAACCGGTGGAAATGCAAATACCGTCGAGGAATTTCGTCAACCGGCGAACACACCGGGGGGATGCGTCCCCATTAGAATTCATAAAACGGGGCTGACCTGTCCCTTCGTTCGTTAAGGGCCGTGAGAGACCTGGCGTGTGACCTGCACCGTACACGCCCACCTTAATTAACAATGATCGTCCTTCCTGGTAGCTCAGCGGGTGCCGTTTCGGGTCTGACCTATCCCGAAAACTTCTGTCTTTTTGTCCCCGCGGCGGGTAACGAGTACCTTTTCTTCGTCCGGTGTACCCAAACGCAGCCTTATTTCGCCTGGTCCTCCTCCCCTCTGGCATTAAGGGTGCATACCCGGGATCTAACGGTGCTGGACCGTTTTCCAGGGGGAAGTGGGGGTGGAAAATTTCGAGGAGAGCAACCTGCGTGGCAAGGTAGACCTATGGGCCCATTCTGTTTATTCGTGTTAAAAGTTTACCGACTGGTAATCTATTAATAGGCTTTTAAATTTCAGTGTTTATAGATAAGAGGTAATTGTTGCGTTAGAGTTCTTGTTAATTTTCGTGAATCTAATTTACTACTGTGATTGAACTGCTTGATGGTAAAAACATAGCGAGCAGGTTTAGATTGTGGTGTAGCCGACTATTCAGCTGGCTGAGAAAGCAAAGTCAGTGAAATATGTGCGATATCACACAGAGAGGCAGCTGAGTAATCAGCTAACTGAGCTTGTTAGTTGATTAGTTATTACCCTGATAGCTGAATTAACGTTTAATTAACGACAGAAGTCAATATGTTGATGCTCTCCGTATAAGAAACATTCGAGGTATCAACCCCTCTTTCTCCACGAATACAGATCTCACGAAGGAATAATAGAACCTATTACTACACCTATTATTATCAACTTCGAACGTAAATTCTATAAATTTCTTTCAGAAGATTAAACTTACATTTAACTAACGATAAAATCCGATAAGGTAATGTATAAGAAACATTCGAAGAATCATCCCCTGTTTCTCGATCCCCACGTCACACACAGCCCCTTTACGAACCTTTTATTCGCCTCCGCAACAGAAACTCGTATTGGCGTTCGTCCGCGAGACGGCTCGCCCGTTTCCGTGATACGAATCCAGTCGTTGGGTCGGCTCGTAGATGCTCGATTTAATTGCACGGAACCCGGATAAACAAATAAACCAGTTCGTGGTGCAGTTGTCGTAAAATGTTTATTACGGCAATCACTCTAGGTAGGTCTCTCTCCCCCTTACAGTAACAATCGAGTACATCTTTATCGCGTGGACGAAGAGAAAGGGAAGGGTAGATCGAAGCGAGTCCGATCCAACGGTGGATAACAAACACCGAAGAAAAACAGAGAAAAATCTAAGGGGTTCGGGGTGGGGGGTTGTACAGTGAAGAAGATTGCGTTCGCCGTACCACAATCCACTGCTTTAATGCCCCACACACGGGTCTGGATTGAATTTAAATATTTCCACGGCCGACAAACTCTTTCGTGAATTGCCCCCGTCGTAAAAGGTGTCCACCCATCCTTCGCCAGGTTCGTAACCCATCTGCGAATCGTTTCGACTACGAACCGTTCTGTGTTTCTATGGGATTCACGAACGGCATTATGAAAATCGTTTCGCTCTCCGGTCTTGAGGACCAATAAAATTGCACCGAAACCTCCCCCCCCCACCCCCTCAAACCGCCGACGGTGAAATTAATATCAGACCTGGCACAGTTTCATCGCGGGATCTAATGCAGAGCGGTCGGTCTTTACGATCAATTCCCGAACTGGTACCTGGCCGGACAAATATTGTTGCCTTGAGGAATTTTCTTATGAAAGAAGTTTTTCGAAGGCTGTTTGAACTGTCCACCGATCCGGTCCATCGATCTCTAGATATTTACACGAAGAGTTACGGCGCTTTAATGCTATTTTGTTCCCCTTCATTGTGTAATTAACCCTTTTTGGACCACTTCAGTTATACATTTGTATAGAATTCTCCGCTAGGTGGTGATAGTGAAAGGAAAGTCGAATTCCTCTCTGCCAAGGGAAGACAGATCCCCCTCCGACTTTGATGGAATTTCGTATGTCTGTTAAGCAGTTAAAAATAAGGGATACGTATTTTTTTTTATCGACCCAGACGCGACTTTAAGGGGTGAAACCACCCCTCGAAGTTTTGATCCGAACTTTTTTTGTTATAAACAAATTATATTTTGGACAATTTGTTAGCACCATATTATTCTACATAAAAAACCGCAAACCTCATCCATTTTTCATGTATCTCCTCTGGTTTACGAGATAGTACTTTCGATAACTACTACAACTACTACTAGTAACACTACTAAAATTCATAGAATTGAAATAACGTACGTGTAACCCGCGACGATAATAAGTTAATAGTGATGATATACATAAGAACTATATAAGAGTTGTTAATGAAATTTAATGCATCTGCTATACACCTTGTAATAAACCTGCAAACCTTACAACACCAAGTGTATTCCTCCCTATTTAAATGATCAAAACAAACGCAATACCCTACACAGAGTATTTCCAAATCTACCGATAAGTCCCTAACGTCCAAGTTAATCCATTGGTATATCTAGGCCCACAAGCCACAAAACATTTAGCAAATCTCAGTCGAACACTTTCTCCGATCACCGTTCACTTGTCCTGTCCCCTGAAATAGCACCTGCTTGTCACGTTAACGAGAACCAGCCCGGAAACACAGAATCTAACCTCCATGTTTCTCTTGTTACAGATATCAGCAGAGAGCCGGAAGACGAGAGCCTCCGGTTCGAGGCGAGCTGGGCCCCAGTAAGCTTCGAGCTTCGGTAGGGCCAGAAGAGCTTTTGTTTTTTCGTCGTGGGAAGCTGTTGGTGGGCTCGTCGGGCCCACCCTCTCATCGGTCAAGCTGGCGAGCGCTCTAACCGCTGGTATGAACCCCCACCATCCGGGCCACTCTGCAGCCTACCCGCATCATCCCTCGCTCTCGAGCAGTCCCCATCATTCTGGGCCCCATCACGGTTACAATACCGGCGGGGGTGGCGGCGGCGGGGGCGGCGGTGGCACAACCACCACACCGGACCTGCCGAGCCCCCATTCGCCACCCCACGGGCCCAATATCGATCCGGCCGCACCGTACGCATCGATGCAACAGGGCCAGGGTATGGGCAGCAACGGGCATCATCACGGCGCCGCCGGAATGATGTCCGATCATCCCCATCACCCGGGTCACCCGCACCCCCACCTACCCGGACACCCCGCTTATCCACCGGTTAATCACAACAACAATTGTACGCTTAAGGTAAGTGGATATGTATCGTTTACCAATGCTCCTGGAGCCTATTTGTTTCGTTTGAAATATTTATTGTTCAATGTCGAGGATCTTCGAACACCCATCGAGGTTGTTATAAAAAATATAGGTATATATTGGTAACCGCTAAAAATTATTACTTAAAAATAAGAAATTATACGTTAAATTTGAGAAATGTCTTGCATCCGTACAGAGCACACTATATTCAGCGAAATACTCTTATCAGAAAAAATTCTTTTCGCACGTCGACCACGTTTTCGCAGTCCAGATCATATACAATTAAATTCTGACGAGTACCATTCGATTTGAACATCCCTCCGATACTAAATATTGTCCAACTGGAACATTAATTGATCGACCAGTAATACGAAACCATAAAAAGAAAAAGAATCAATCGTCGGCTATTATTACATCCCTCGTATTTATTTAGTGGCCCATTTAGCATTATTCACCCATTCTCGCTCGTCAGCTGCCAGAGGGACCGCGTCAACGGAACAAATTAAATTAAGGGTCGTCCCCCCTTTCGTAATGACCCGAACGTCTCCACGGCTCTCCGCCATTTTTCGTCGTCCACCATACACACACATACACGCATACTTACGTACATATACGAATCCTCTAGCGCCACGAACGGTTCACCGTGCGCGATTAAAATGCACTTTCTACGCGGCGGGGCCGTCGCGCGAGGATGGTCACGAGAAAAAGTTTTCAACCGGAAGCACCTGGAACGAGTACGTACAGCATTGTTCGCGTAATAACCAGTGTCGGTCGTTTATTACGTAAGCTCACTTCGCTCGACGATTTCCCGGCCAACGAGAGAAACGTGTCCGTAATCTCTGTTGGTACATTCCCGATGAGAGCATAAACGATCGACGAGTGTACCGAAGTCGAACAGCGAAGCTAACAACGAGCTTGTAGTCGATAATATCAATTATCGAGTGGGACTAATGTTTGAACACTTTGGAACTGGTACAATGTAGTTTGAAAGTTATCGAACAACGTGCTAGAGTGATTCATAAATGTTACTTGTCAGTCTATTTTGTTTGCCCATTTTAGAAGTATTTGCAACACAGAAGAAACAAATAATATAGGTACGTGAATTAGTCCTAATTTGAAAGAGCAGATATAATAGTAGCTAATTATATCGCGAGATTTCAGTTCATAAATTTGGAGATTCTGGGAGAGCGTGAAGTGTATCAATAATTGGGGTGCTTGTAGAAAACATTGTAAGTGTCAAAATGGAAAATTTTGATTTTTTTATCGAAAGATATTCTACGCGCCATTGAGGATATTGTAGCATTGAATTTTTATGAAATAATTATGAATTACCCTAGTAGGTGTTACGAATAATCGTCTAACATTAGATGGAATTCGAGCTTGAATTAATTTTTCGTCAGAGACCAATGAAAGGATCATTCCAACGAAATCATTTTTAAGATTCGTAAGAGACATAATTTTCGAGTTCTGAAATAGGAGAATAAATTCAGCAGGCGTAAATCGAAAACGAAGGAGGAACAGCGTTGTTCGACTTCAAAACGCGTTTCCTTGAAAACAGGTTCTCCAACACTGACCGTCCCTCCTCGCTCCGGGTCACGTACGTTTATTCGCCACTGCTCTCGAACAAAAATTCTCCTATGCCCACCGAACTCTCGGAGACCGAACTAGATTCATTAACCAACCCTTTCCTGGTAAAATCGAGTCAGAATCGTCGTGGCGATTTGAATCTGGGATTAATAAACATGAACACTATTCATTTCACTATTCATTTTCTTCTGAAAATTTACATAAAGTTAACTGAACGTTATAATAAAAGTTGCAAATGATCAGAGAAATTATATTCCAATCATCGTTACAAGAGAGTACTGACAACTAATTTTCACTTATTTGCTAATTCCAGTGTTAATTTTCAATTTAACACGTTGAAATGTGCAGTAAATTGTATAACTGACTGTTCTGAATCGTTTAGTAGTTCTAGTATTGAATCGAAGAGCAACACAGTTATACTGATTTTAATATTCAACTTTCTCCAGTAAGTGTACATTCACGATAAAAACAGAATGGATTTTGCTTCTGAACAAGTACCAATAATAAAGTAACTGCACCGAATAAGGCCGTCAGAAGAATCGTCAGACAAGGGGTTAACAAATAGCCACTTCGGTATCATTAAAATCCACTAACCGCGTAACGAAACAATCCCCCCTCACGAAACCCTTTTTCAAAAACCACGTGACATATACCACCGGAAAAACCTCCTTACCCCAACAAACCGTTCCGATTGACACGGTTCTCGGAATCGAAAAAGCGTTCCGCCCTCGGTGGACAACAACTCGCTCTCTTACAGGTGAGAGTTAGCCTCTAACGGGAGGTCGGGTCAGGATCATCGCGACGAGAAGAGAAAGAGAGAAGATGAACGCGCAGGGTCGCAGGCTAAAATTCAGAAGGCATTACCCGTCTACGTGACCCTCACTTAGCTCGCCATTGACAAACGTAACAATATAGGCATTTACCATGGAGAAATATAATTGAATAGGGGCGGAGGGGACTACGAGGAACCAGGGGTCCCCCTTTACCACGGTCCCCACTTTCCCCCTCCTCCCTTCGTCGCTCCGTGTTTCACTCCATAATACACTATCTGTCTCTCTCTCGTACGTTCCCTACCAATGGTCTCGCCGTCCTTGTCAGGCCTGGCCGTAGCTATGGATGGGTCCCGTCCCCTTTCAACGTTAGTTAGGTCCTTTCTAGGCTCACCTTTTTATTCCCCCCACCACACGGGGCCTTCTCCCCCCCCCCCTAACCTCCTCCCCACCGCTTCTCCACGGCAGGGCCGGGGTACCTGAACCCGGGGCCTCGCGAGGAGGCATTCAGAGGCCCAAAGCAACGACGGACCAGTCAGTTCACTGTTGACTTCGGTCGCGACCGGTTCGCCTTTTTCTCAGCATCGCGCGCCGCGTGTTTCTCTCTGTCGCGTCGCCCTCCTTCTATCTGTGTATGCATGTGTGTGTTGTGTATCTGTTGTTCTCTTTATTTCGGTGACCCTGACGACTGGATACACTCGTGGTTCGTTCGGGTGTATACCAAACGTCTCTGATCGAAGTATACTTGGGGGTCCGTTACGGATGGTCCACGCGAGAGACGTTGCACGAACGATACCTAGTCGTCGCCGACGGGAGGAACCGTAAAACTTCTCTGTCTCCGCGTTTGTGACCGAGTATTTCGAGTTTGGTGTTCAGTGAATGATCTACCGGTTTTTCCAACCCTTTTTTGGATACTACGTGTGTGGATTAAGAGCCGATATTTAGTTTGGTGATTCGCCACGAGACCTGGTGCCTACGTATATACGTGATTCCACAGAAGTGTGGCCTTTGTGTGCTGACGAATGAGATCGTTGGACCGGTGAATACAGCCGAGAAAAGGCTGTCTTCGAGTTTTTCTTTTTGTTTTTTTTTTTTTTTGGATAGTGTGTGAGAGACCGATTGTGGATCATGGAGGTTCACGCGCATCACTACAACGCCATCGCGTCGCGGATGAACCATATGAAGTGCTTCCCCGGGGATAAAATTGTAAGCATGGAGAATCTTTGTTTTTGTTATGTACTTTGAATTATATTATTCGAGCGGTGCTAGGGATTGACCTGGATGTTCTTGTTTCCTTATTCATCGAGGAATCTAGTAGGTTCAGGCGATGAATTGGATAGTTTTGGAGCGATGATGCTAGGTTCGGCGGATGTCTGTTAAGTGGTCGAAACCTATTTTAATCTTCTTTAACACGTTCGCTACCAGCGTCATATGCGTGCGACTTTCGAGTCAACATACTTTCTTAGGTAAAAGAAGAATGCGCTTCGCAATATTTACCTGTATTTTATGTCAGTCGTAATATCTGTTTTGAGTATTTTTAATATATGATCAAGGAGACAAGGACAGTCCATTGAATAGAATACTAAAAATCCAAAGTAATATGTGACTAATGTTTTTGAATATAATTATGGTAATTTTTATTTTGTCATTTTGATCAAAAATCGTTCAAATCGCATAAACCAACCTATTAATTTAATTTTCAAAAGAACCCATCACCCTTCTGATAAAAACAGGATCCACGTTAATTGTCGCTAGTTTTTACCATTTACTGACCACGTCCAAAAATCTTTCAAAATCTCCACTCCCCAATCACAGAAAATTTATCTAAAATTTTTCCGATACAACAACCCGAAATCGTCGCGAAACGGAGCAAATTGTCGCACGTTTATTCGTTTCAACCCCGTTATCAACGAGAGAAATTCGGAACCGCCGTAGTCGAAATCCCACCACCACGCGTGTCCGTCCCCAATCGGATTTGACTTTGGCCGGGGTAAATTGCTTAAACGACTCCGGTAGCTTCGATTGACTTGATTTGTCTCGATACTCGACTGTTTCCGACTACAACGTTGCGTTTAATGGTATCAGCGCCGATCGAAGTTCGCAACTGGCCCCCCTCTCTGCATGTGCCCCACGCTGAAATACATATTCATCGGCCGATCTTATTCAATGGAAGACAACGCAACACTCTTTTTTTTTTCTTTCTCACTCTCTGTTTTTCTCTCAACAAGACATTTCTTATCAGTGTGAAAGTGTGCTGAACTAATTAAATTTTTCCCGACGGTCGGAACGATTGCGAAACAAATACACTTGGGTGTAGTACGTTTGTGTTTACGTTGATCGCATGATTTCGAGGCAGGAACCGAAAAGGTGCGCCCCGGTGGTTCCGATAAATTCGTATCTGGATTATATCTGGACCCCAGAATCAAAGTCTATTAAATCGACTTTTTTAAAAATGACATTTTACATTTTTCCCGTATCAAATTTATCACTCTTTCTGATGGTAAAATTCTTTCGTTCTAATCCGTGTAATTTTTAATATAATTTTTTTAAAGCGATATCTTCTGATTCACCACTTCTACATATAGACACTTGTCTCTATTCAATAATTCGAAGGTAGTGATTGTTTCTCCTTGAATT